GAGGATGACCTAGAGAATTTGTACATACAAACATTGATGGGACATTTATTTGAGAAATGAGTAAATAATGGTGATGAATATCTAGCATTTATAAAACTTAATTCGATCAGTCGAGAGATGAGCTGGGAGCTAAGCCAAGGGCCAAATCAAGAGCCTTTTTCTGGTAAACCCCCTAACCTGGGAGTCATGCTCCTAATGATCCTCATGAGCGACCATGGATAGAATCAGAAAGAAATAGGTAAACTTGACAAAACTTTTTGTCCATCTCTTGCTTTTATATCACCTTAATATTTAAAAATGTTACTTATATTTGGATTATTTTGTGTTGATTCTTCAGTTGAAATTGCATCTTCTATGCTGCAAATTAACAAAAAGAAACAGAGAGTAGCTTGAACATGTATGAAATTATTAGTTATACTTGTAAATGTAGTTAATATAACGTATGTAGAAGATGTTATATCCATTGAATTTTAAGAATATAACTTTTGCATTGACCAGGTTTAATAACATTAATGTGACTAGAAAGATCACATATATCTTGAAAGATTATTTAGGCCCATGGCACACTTGGAAGAAGGTTCCTACACATGTTAAGAACAACATATTTGGTAAACTTAAGTTAACTAGTTATTTTTCAACAAATTGTAGTGTTTGGTATATGCAACGGTTAATTAACTAAATGATCCTAATTATTGTTTTTATTGATTTATTAATTGTTTGAAATATGATAGGAATATTTTCAAAGGTTGCTTGAGCATCAACATGATATTAAAAAGTCATGGTCATATGTATCTGCAAAAAACATGATCAATTTGTTCAATGATGGTCGTGGAGTTGCTATGAAAGCTGCTAGTGATTGGGATAAATTTTGGATGAGGTTTTGCAATGAATGATTGGAGAAAAAAAAAAGAGAAACTGCTAGAAAAAATAGAATGATTAAAAAGATGGATCTATTACAAAACATATTGGTGGCTCCATTCCATTTAGATAGCATGAAAAGAGGATAATAATTTTATTTTTATTTGTTATAGTATAATGAATTCCTTAATTTAAATTATGAATTTGTAAGATTATTTAATAAAACAATTTTACTTTGGTTGTGGAAAAAAGTAATGGATTTGATAATGTGTCTAAAGTTGATGTTTTGATCGTACTCAAAAAAAAAAAAAAAGGCAAGGGAAAAGGTGAATATGTTGACAACAAGTTAAAGAGAGTTTGGGTAAGTGAATTATTAATTTTATTTTGCTTGTTATTAACATATGAGTATTAAATAAGTTATTTCTAATTTAGTATAACTATTTTACTTGTGTAAATAAGATGAATACGAAGGTGTTCAGTCACAAAGATATGGCAGTGATGATTTGATACTACTTCTTGGATAGTAGCAACTGGTGGCACATCTAAAGGATATGTGTATGGATTTGGACACAACAAGCTTGCTCATGAAGCAGTAGGTACATCACAATCATCTTTTACTCAATATCCCAATGATGTATCTCTATTAACTCCACAATCTATCTCTAATATTGAGGAACTTGAGAAAAAAATGGAGGAAAAGATGGAGAAAAAAACGGTAGAATTTATTGAGCAAATAAAAAGAAGGTAGGTGGTTTTTTATGAGACTTTAACATTTTTATTGCAACAATCATAACAACAAATGCCATCAATACCATCTATCATCTAAGATATAATTCAAAAGGTGAATCAAGATGTTGGTCCAAATTCACTTTCACGTGATGCGCATCAATTCATTGATAGTCATTCAAAATAAGATTGTTTATTTATTTCTCTATTTTGATTTTTCTATAACATTGTCGGTTGTATGGCTAAATTTGCAAATATGTATGTTGGAGTTCAAAACTTTAAAAAGTTGTTGTACTTTGAATATATTTCATGATTGTTTTGCATTTTCTATTGATATATTTATTGATTTAGGAAATTTTAATGAATTAAGAGTAGATTGTATTATTTTTATTACATTTAGCATTACGAAAATGAAATACAGGTTTATATTACAAAGAAGTATTTGTAATGAAAAAAAATTGCCAATGAAAATTTTCCTGTAGATTTTTCAACTAAAGACAAAATCAGTGACGGAATTTAGCAACAGAATTTTGTTGCTAATTTAGCAACAAAATTCAACAATGAAATTTTTATCATTAATTTAGCAACAGAATTTCTGTTGGTTATTTAGCAATGAAATTTAGAGGCAAAATTTCTATTAGTAATTCAGTGATGCAATTTAGCAACAAAATATCTGTAAGTGATTTAGCAATAGATTTTACCAACAGATTTCATTGGTAATTTAGCGACAGAATTTAACAAAAGATATTTTGTCAATAATTTAGAAATGGATTTAACAACAGAAAATCTGTTGATAATTTAGCAACCAATTTTAGTGACGTACATTCTGTAAGTGATTTGCCAATGGAATAATGAGATTATTTTTAGCGACCATTTTTCTAACAGAAAAAATTCAGTTGCTATGTTATATTTTACCGACAAAAAATTTCGGTTACTAAAAAATTTTGTGACGAAAATTATTTGCAATTTTTAGCAACGTAATTGCTAAAAATTTCCGTTGCTAAAATTCCATTACTAATTGTTCAGCCGGTAATTTTCCCGTTGCTAAATTAGCAATGGCTATTTTACTGACAGATTCAATTCCGTCGCTAAATGCATATAGCGATGAATTTTATTGATTTAGCGACAAAAATTTTTCCGTCATTGAAGGGCTATTTTCTTGTAGTATTAATAGTAAGGGTCAGAGAGCAGTTGAAGTAATGAAATTATAAAATACATTAGAAGAATTTCAAAAAAGAAATGATATTTTCTAATTTTTTAGTCGTGTAAATGGTTAGGTTTCTTCTGTTATAAGGTCCAGAAATTTCTCATCTCCTGGTCGCCTCCCCATTTGACTAAAATCTCATCGTCGGCCCGGTTTTCAAATATTACCAATTCTAAATCTAGAAGGCTGCTTTTTCTTCTTCTTCTTTTTTTTTTCTTTTCATTTTTTATTTCTCAAATTTACACATTGAGAAACTTTTGCTGTTTATATTCCACCCCCCCCCCCCCAAAAAAAAAAAAGTAATCACCATGTTTGATTTTCCTTTTGAATTATTATTTTAATATTAATTTATTCTACATTGCGTTTTTGGGTAAAGTTTTACACCAGCGTCGCCGTCAAACGATGGATCGGCGGGAACAGTGGAGAAGTGTTCTTTGACGTGTCCAGGTATCCATAATTAACCATGACATTTATAATGGAAAATTATATTAATTTTTAAGTTATACACTCATGGTGTTATGGCAGCAGGTCAAAACCTTCATCATTATCCAGTACATTTTCAACAAAAAAAAAAAACACCTATATATCAGGTTAAACCACGTCGTTTTACGTGGTCTACGTTTCAGTGTTTTTAACATCTACGCAAGGTAAAACAAGAAACAAGATAAATGTCACAAAATCAAAAAAATATTAAATAACAAGAAAGTACATTTTTAACTCAAACTGGTGTCCACAAAATTACCAAATTTCACCGTTTGAAATAAGTTTTTTTACTTTTTATATTTCACATTTTCCATTCGAATAATTTAGAATAAGGTTGTAAATAGATTGGATTTAAGTTACACACTATAGATTTGGATTTAAATCCGATAGTGGTATATTATATCTAAATTCGATTCGAAATCCTATAAGATATGTGTTTAGTACTACTTTATTCGAATTTTGATAAAAATCTAATATTTAAAAAATAATTCAAATCCAGATTGTTGAATTATCATACATTTTTATTTTATATTTTAGAAAAAAATTCAAAACTAAAACAAGAAATTCTTAAAAAAATATAAACTAATAAATAATTTTAGTGTTTAAAAGTAAAATATAATTACATCTAGTAATATATGACAATTATATTTAATCTATTAATATACATATTTTTCATATCTGTTTCATAAAAAAATAAAAATATGTTTCTAGTTTCTATTTTTAAGAAAAAATAATTTATTAATTAAATTATGATAAATCAAGTTTATGTTATGATATAAAATATTAAGTAATATTATATATCATATATACTGCATGTAGGATTTGGATATTTAAGAAATTAAATTAGGTAAAATTTATATTTGCTCATTTTTTTAGATTATAAATATATATAATCGGATATTATTTATCAAATCTTTTATCAACAAAAGATCCTACATAATCAGATCAAATTCGATTAAAAATCCGATTTATTGATAACCAATTTAGTTGGTGGCGTACGATACAGGGATGTCATGGTAATTTGTATACATTTAGAGAATGGTAATGGAATATTGAAATGCAATACAAATGAAGAGGATGACTTAATAAAAATAATAATTTTTTTCTGGGGTGGTTGTGGAGTAGAGAAAGAAAATGAGAAATCGAGTGGGGTTGAAGAAGAGACCATTTCCATGGATGAGATTAGCTTTTTTCGCCAAAGTCTAAGTTGGGATGTGAGCTTGGAATGTAGTAGTTGAAGAATTGGTCCTTACAAAGTATAAATCAAAGATTGATGATAGAAAATATGTATAAACAAAGTGACTGATTCAAGGACCTTCATACTATAAATCCAGTGCTCGTCCAAGCCTTCAAAAGCAAAAAACACAAAAGAGAGTTTTTTAGTTATTCATCGACCAATCCATCATGGCGAAGCTCTTGGGTCTTAGCTTGATTGCTACCATGGTCATCCTTGCCATGTTCTCCACACTCGGCCATGCTTCTGATCCCAGCCAGCTTCAGGACTTTTGTGTTGCTATCAACGACTCCAACTCTGCTCGTACATATGCTCTCTCTCTCTCTCTCTCTCTCTCTCTGTTGGCTTAGGCTAGTTTAGCATGTAACTGACAATTACAGTATTTAGTCCAACGTGTATTTGATCTTTTGGGGATAGTTTTTCTGTTGAAAATGTAAAATACTGTTGGATTTGAATTTTTAAATTAAAAAACAATGAGTTGAAAATTTTCAATATATGGGTTTTCTAAGGTAAGAAGCTAAATGTAAGATTCTAAAAACCAATTAACCTAAACAACTTTTATTTTTTTTCCTTGAAATGTTATATTATGGAAGCTAAAAGAGACATTATTTTCATTTTTATCCTCGTACTTCTTTCACAATATTTATTGATGAAATTCTCTTTGTCCATATACAGTGTTCGTGAATGGTATGTTCTGCAAAGATCCAAAACTCGCCACCCCCGAGGACTTCTTTGTCTCTGGACTTCTTACTCCTCGAAGTACATCGAATCCAATGGGATCAACCGTTACTCCTTTTGCTGTAATGCAAATACCAGGACTTAACACTCTTGGAATTTCTTTAGTTCGTATTGACTTTGCACCTTATGGGCTCGTCCCACCTCATTTTCACCCTCGTGCAACCGAAATTCTTGTGGTCCTCGAAGGTACCCTTGACGTTGGATTTGTTACATCTGATCCAGACCACCGTCTTTTTACCAAGACGTTGTGCCCTGGAGATGTCTTCGTCTTCCCGCAAGGTCTCATTCACTTTCAATTTAACGAGGGAAAAACTGATGCGGTCGCCATTTCTGCTCTAAGCAGCCAAAACCCAGGAGTAATTACCGTTGCAGATACAGTGTTCGGATCTAATCCGAAGATTTCTACTGATGTTCTAACCAAGGCATTCCAGTTGGACAAGAAGGTGGTTGACTATCTTCAAGCCAAGTTCTCGGGAGTAATAACTAAATAAATTATACACATGCCTGTTGAAATCCTATAAATAAGACAATAAGTACTTTGCCCGCATGGGAAGCAAAGGCGTCCTTTCCATTAGATGTTAGTCAATACAAATAAGTGGCATCTGCCATCTTTATTATTTTTCTTATATTGATTTTCCGTTATGAAATTTGTTGGGTTATTTTATATATTTGTATTTCTCTCTTATATCAAATAAAATATCATTTTATGTCATTTAGATCAATTTTGTGAGATCAATATTGGGACTTTTGCTATGATAGAAAGTCAAAATGAAAGTACATTTCAATTCTCTAACTTCATATCTTGGAATGGTCAAAAATACTCTCGTAAATATCTATTCTATTTCTAAAATTCAATTCAAAGTTTCAGTTATTACAAGAATAAATAGAATTAGTGATGGTGAAAATTCCAGATTAGCTAGGGTAACAAATCACAAACTGAAATTTTAAATGAAATGATTAATGGGATTAGTGACGAAACCATTCCTTTGCTAAGTTTTGGGTTTTCCTTTTTTAGTGAGGGAACCTTTTTCTTACTATTTTTTTCCTAATATTTAGATAGATTTAGTGAGGTCTTAGTGATGGAACTAATCCCATGATACTTTTTTTTAAAAAAAGATTAGCAACAAAATGATTCGCTTGCTAAATTTTATTTGACTTTAACTAAGATCGTCAATGGGTTAGATTTTAATATGAATCTTATCCATATTCGAGTATTTGAATTTAATTAAAATATTTGATAGAACAATTCTGAATACAAATATTTGTAATCGAAAATAATTAAATGGGATATGTAATTAAGTAATCCAATTTATTAAAATTTGAATCCGAATGTTAATAATATTTTTTATTAAATTAGTAATATTATATATATAATATTAAAAATTCAAAATTGTATGGATTAAATTGAAAAAATAAAAATTTAGGGATAAATATGATTGATGAAATAGAGTTTAGGGATTTAAGTGTAAAAAAATATTATTTTTTTGTCGGATCGGATTTTTTTATTAGATTTCGAATTATCCATTGAACTTAGATATGGTTTAGTAACATAAATTTTATAAGATTTTGGATCAAATTTGGATATGAATACGATTAATTGGATTTAGATTCGATTTGACTAATTTGATTCAAATCTGATTCGTTCACAGCTCTAACTTTAATGATAGATTAGTACAAAAATACATTCTCTCATTATTTTTTATTTACATTTAACGATGAATTAGCATGGAATTATTCAGAAAATATTTTCTTTACTATTTTTTAGCAGGTTTAAACGAAAGAATTTTTTGTCCTCAATTCCTTATATTTTTGTCGTGAATCCAATTGCCACGTCTGAAAGAAGGGATGGAATATTTTTTAAGTGGATTAGTGGCTATCATTCTCCATTGTTAGTAAGCGGGCTCTAAATTCTAGCTCATTCATAAATGGATCAACTCTAAACCACAATCAGACTCGTCCGTTTTGTAACTGGATTGGATTTTATACTCCAAACCTGTGGATCCATTTATCAAACCATGCAATTTCGAGGAAAATACTGAAGTCTTCTCTCTCTTTCTCTCTCTCTCTCATGACAAGAGTGCAATCTATTCTTTACGAGGCTTCTCAATTTACTATTAGGTGCTGTTTGATATATATCCATAATTTTTTAATATCGTTTTCGAATCTCTAATTTTTAATTTTTTTCCACTACTTGGCTCAAAAAAAAAAAAAATTGCAACCCAAGAAAAAGACTTAAAAAAGTCAATTTATTGATAACTTTATTTTATTAGTTTAAGGCTAAAAAAATACCTGTTCTTTAAATTTTTTAACATTTTATATTAAATTTTTTTTATCAACAAACAAATTTAAACCAAACATCAGAAAGATTCAATTGTTTTTTCTTAAACAACAAAAAAATCAAAAACTCAGAAACTCTAACAAACCAAACACACTTTAAATTATTTTAAT